GCCCCTTCCCAAACACCATCAACTCCTGCCTGGTCCCGGAAGCAGCATCTAACGTGTCTTCCCAGTTCTACCCTTGTGGTCCTCCACCGTCTGCATCCAGAACCATCTCTTCCCTAGGCTAATCTGGATGTTGGGATAGAAGCCTTCCACTGTTCTCCCCGTTGGCCTTCCCAGGGGTCTGATTGCCTGGGCTCTGTGTTGGCATGAGCCTGGCTCCTCCTGGAGAATTTGTCCTCCAGCTGTTGTTGCATAAGGAAGCAGGGAGTGAGACTGAGAGTCACTTGAGAAAGGGAGAAAGAGGGAGAGAGGAGGAGGGAGTGAAGGGGAGGAGAAAGGAAGGGAAGAGCGAGGAAGTGAGGGGGGGAAGAGTGGGTGAGGGAACAAAGGCGTCTTTATTCTGGACAGAAATTAAAATCTGTTTTAGGAGGCAAGAGTAATTAATGGTAGGTTGAGTAATAGGGGTTAAAAAAAGCAATTACTTCTGCATATAAACAGTCATAATATATAAAAAGTATTTGGCAGCCAGTATGGCCAGTGGTTACACTCCGGTATTCTTGCCTGGAAAATTCCATGGACAGAGGAGCCTGGCGGGCTACAGACCACAGGGTCACCAAGAGTTGGACACAACTGAGTGACTGTCACTTTCACATACTAGAGAGTTCTTTAAAAAAGAAATGGCCAAGGCAGCTACCAGTGATAAGGGACACCAGGAGGTTTGGAGGGACCCCAAGGCCCCTTGACAGGGCCTAGTGTTAACCCTCTAGCTGCTGGATCAGGGCAAGCAAGACGGAAAGAGGTAGAGATACTGTTGGGAGGGAGCAGGCAGAAAGCCTAAGGTGGTTCAAGACCCCAGCTGACTTTCAAATGGTGCCGAATATCCAGTATTTCAGGAAGTCATGTCACTGTACTGATGTGCCTTGGCTTGAATAGAGCCCCTGAATAGAGACCTTTTTTTTTTTTTTAAACAAATTTGAGGTCATACCATATGTATTCTGGTGTCCTGCTTTTTTTCAGTTTAACAATATATTATAAGCATTTTCCTGTGGGGCTCAGTTTTTGGGTTTTGCTTTTAAAAAGGATTTCAGGCAATTTAGTTTTGAGTCGGAATCAGGGTGTTGAGGGGCAAATGCTACAGGCCACAGAAAATTCTTTGAAACAACCTGCTTCCTAATGGTGTGTCTACTCCCTTTCCTAAGTCTGTGGTCATTGGATATGCTATAAGTGTGTTAAGTCGCTTCAGCCACGTCCAACTCTTTGCCACCCTATGGACTGTAGCCCACCAGGCTCATCTGGCCATGGGATCCTCCAGGCAAGAACACTGGCAGGGCAAACATCTGTGAAAAAATGAAGGACGAGGTCGATACTAAGTGCGGTTAAAACAACAAGCGGTGGAGAGAGATGCTGACTTAAATTTTAAAATTTCAATTACTGGGACTTCCCTGGGTGTCAGGGGTTAAGACTACTTCCAGTGTAGGGGCCACAGGTTTGATCCCTGGTCAGTGAACTAAGATCCCACATGCCACTAGGAATGCCCCCCCAAAAAAATTACAATTACTAAGGTAACTGAAAATAACTACTTAAAAAAAAAAAAAAAGCCAGCACTAGCAAAGAAGCATTTCCCTAGAGATGTGTCTTGCTACATTTCATCTACTCACAGAAGGGCAGTATTGGGCGGGTTTTCTGATTTAATTTTACAGAGATCCTGGGAGAAATAAAGATAATGGGCCATGTATTTCTTGGAACTTAAGCAAAGTGGCTGGCCTAGGTAAAAACTCTTGTAAAGAATCTTTATCTTATTTGAACTCATATTTGAGTTAATTAGGATAAGAACATTACTTCTTCAGTCAGCTATAAAGTTCCATTTTTATTGCTGTAAAACGTGACAAAGATAGAAAGCTAAAATAATCCATTATTGTTCTTGCAGATCATTTCAGCTTTCATTGCCTTTGCCACTGCTTTTCTTCTCTTTCAGTTGTTCATTTATCTCAATTCATGTGTACATGGTTTTTGCAATTTTTTCAATGTTTTTGAGGACAAGCATGTTAGTTACTCTGTATCATCAAATAATATTCTCATTTGAAAACACATGAAACCTTTATTTTAAAAATGTTAGTTTGAGAAAAGCATAATTTGCTATTATTAGTCCAAAAAAATGTCAAATTCCCTTCTAATACTAATAATTAAGAGATGTGTATTTTCACTGAGAAATTACAAAGTTTTAAAGTTTTCTGTCAGACAGTGTGTGCTAGTTAAATCTCTCTCCACTGTCTTTTTTTTTTTAAGGTTTTGTAGAAACATTTTTTAAAAAATGTAACTCAGTGATCCATGCCTCACCTTTGAAATTCATGCATTTCTAGGAAAGCAGACCCACCTCTGCCCTAAATGTTGATGCAGTACTGTTGAGAATGGAGGAGTCTAGAGGGAACTTCAGACTCCGGGCACCTGCGTTTCCTTCTGAAGCTCTGAGCCTTTTATCCGACTGGTCTGCCAGGACTTCTCAGCAACGCGCTCATCCTGATGCCTGTAGGAAGGTTGTCACGTTGTCAGGGAGAAACCTCTGAAAACTCACCTCCTGCTGAGCTGAAGTGCACAGCTCAGGAAAGTCAATATTTTCAGTCTACCTTTGTCCTGAGTGCATATAAAAGGGCTTTGAGTGTTTATCCCTTTTATTACGGGTGAGCACTGGCAGAGGAAAAAAATTGGCTTTCATTTTTTATACTTTTGCAGAGAGCAAAAATGAAGAAGCACAGGTAACTTATTTCAGACTTTACTAGATCCTTTCTCTAGGTTGTTTTATTAGAAACTCTACATAGAAATGCAACCACGAAAAATAAAACTAGAGCATATTAGTGTAAAGGCCATGTTTCTTTGAACCCAGTAGTTTAACTTTGTTCTTAAGGATGAGACGTCCGTAGTTTAGATGATAGCGTCTCCTTCTGGGGTGAAGAGGTGGGCAACCAAGTGAGAAGAAGGTAATTGAAACTTTGGATAGAGGTGCGGGGGGACTCTGTACATTGTATTGAAACCTCATGTGACTAATATTTTTGTTTTAAACAATCTATTTTTATGTTATTTTATGTTATTTTTATTTGTGCAATCAATATGCATTTAGAATTAACCATAGTTTAACACTTTTTGTTATTTGTTATTCTTCTTGAGCTGAGTTCACACTCCCAGGTAGACTGTGTCCCCATTTCCTCAGGGTAGAATTTATTAGGTGTGATAATGATATATGTATTGATCAAAGATTTGAGCCCAGGAAGCGGGGTTTGTTGGATGCACATACTCAACATAATTCTTTAGAACCACAGTGGGCTCGCTGGACCCTATTAACGGCTGATTTAACAATTAGGGTTGAATGAATGAATGAATGAATGAAAGGAGAGCAGTCCATATTCTTGTACACATACCCTTCTGCTGACTATAGTAAAAAGAACTAAAGGTATTGTTTTTGGTGTCAACAAGTTTTAGCTGTTAGTAATTGTTTGTTACTTTGCACTAGTCAGGTAACCTCTCTTGAACTTGATTTCTTATTGTATAAATTGTATAATATTGCTTAACAGAAACTGTTGTAAGCTTGAAGTGATATAAAGTATAAAAGAGAAAGCATTTTCAATTGTAAAGGAGTTGGAAAGGGTACAAAGGAGGCTTCAATGGTTAGTCTCCAGATTACAATAATAAATACCTATAAAATAATAGAATTTTAGGGAGAATCCAGGAGGAAAATACATGTAAGTGCTATATAATAACACTCACCTCCTAAGTAGGATTAAATTTGATAACACACCTAACCTTTGATAATACACCATTTACATAAGTGTTCACTGCGCTGTATGCTGTGCTCAGCCATGTCCAACCTCTGAGACCCTATGAATTGTAGCCTGCCAGGCTCCTCTGTCCATGGGATTTTCCAGGCAAGAATATTGGAGTGGGTTGCCATTTCCTCCTCCAGGGGATCTTCCTGACCCAGGGATCCAACTCTGGGTCTCCTGCATTGCAGGAGGATTCTTCACCCACTGAGCCACATAGGAAACCCAAGTGTTCATTAAATGTTAGCTATTATCTCTACTATTATTAATGCTTTTCTACAAGAAAATGAAACTTGGAGAGTGTTAGTAACTCATTAACATCTCATAGCTAGTTAGTGGCTGATTGGTGGTGGTGTCCAATTGCTCAGTCCTGTCAGATTCTTTGCCCACCATGGAATGCAGGCCTTCCTGCCCTGTAGTGGCTAATATCAGTCCCCAAACTCCAAGTCCAGTCTGATTTCTAAATGAAGCCTGTACTTCAACCATCTGATTATAAGGGAACTCCCTTAACGGTATTTTTCTTTAAGTCTGGTAATAGACTATATACTACATGCTAGAACACAAAAATGGTATTGAAATCATTAAAAATGAAACTTTTCACACGTTTGGTGGTTCCTTCTTTAATGCAGACAACACAGGTCCTTTAACTAACTCAGTGTCTCGGGAAGATTAAACAGAGAACGCTTAACAACTCGGGGGGCAACAGTCGTCCCTTCCTACACGTCACTGCAGGGAAACTGTAGGGTTGGGACAAGCTCCCGCAGGACGCATGCGCGCAGCCCTCGGGGCTGGCCTGCGCGGCGGGGGCGGGGCTCCCGGGCTGGCGGGAGGTTTGAAACCCAGAAGATAAGGGCCCAGGCGGTCAGGCTCCTCCTGAGGTCAGGCTCCCCATCTCCGTCTGGGATTCATCCGCTCTGGGGTTTACGGGCTGTAGGTTTGAGGGAGACAGCCCGGCTAGGGGGACCTCCCGCGTGAACCGGAGACCCTGGGTCTCCACGCAGGAGCTGACGCGCCGTGTAGGTACGACCAGAGAGAACCTGCCTCCATTGCCCGCGCAGAGGGGGTCTTGGTCCCGCCCCCCGCCCCCTATTGGTTGCTCAGAGGACGCGGACAGGCGGATTTCCGCAGAGCCCGCCCTGCGCACGCGCGCTGCCACCACTGCGTCACGCTTGCGCGTCCTCGCTGCCCGTCATGGCGGCCCCCGGGAACCTCCGGGGCCCGGTCCTAAAAGGTGAGTAGGCGGGGGGCGAGCCGGCGCAGCGGCGGCCGGGCCTCAGGAAGGGCGCCCGGGTCGCGGGGTCGCCAGCCCGGCTGCCGGGATTAGGCTGGGTCTGTCCTCGAGCCCAGCGCCGGGACCGCCCGTGACGGGTGGGGGTCCGTTTCCGAGCCCAGGGCCCGCGCCGCCCCACCTGGGCCGGGTCAGGCGCGTGGCGCAGACACGCGAAGGGCTGGGAGGCCCCGAGCGGTTGGTTTTCAGCTTTTCCTGGGCTCTGGCGTTTTTGTATGGCCCGGTGGATTTGCGGGGAGGGGGCTCTAATGAAATTAGAAGAAGAACCAGTAACTCCTCTCCCTGTTTTCTGTTAGTGTGACCAGAACCTCTCAGGGAGAAATGATTCCCTCCAGGCACGCCCGAAAGCCTGGCTCAAAGCCAGGCTTTGAGCAGGGAGGGTTTTGTAAACTGTGTTCCCTGCCCAGCAAAGGTTTGCCTGTTGGCCGTGTTTTTGCAGGACCTACAAACTAAAAGTGCCCTTTACTTTTTTAGATGGTTGAGGGGGTGGGAGGAACCGAAGGAGGAGGACAAATGAAATCTATTATCCAATTCAGACTTCATTTTCTATAAAGTTTTGTTGGAACGCAGTTAGGCTTGCTCGTTGATGTATTTGACTGCTTTTGTACTGCAGCCTTCAAACTGAGTGGTTGTTTGGCCCTCAAATCCTAAGATAACTGCTCTCTGGTCCTTTACAGAAAATTAGAAAGTTAGGCTTGGTTTAAGAATTTGGGAAGAGTTGAGAATGTAAACTGTGATGTATGAGTAAAGTTGTTTTTCCCTTGAAATTTGAAAGGATCTGATGGCACTTTTAAACAGAAGAAATTTTAAATTTACTTTTTAATGTGAATAGAACAGGAGAAAAATCTGTTGAAATCTTTGGGGGAGGGTATATTAGATATATTTCATGCTAGCATTTTCTTTGTTTTCAGATGTTGTGGCCTATGTTGAAGTGTGGTCAGCCAATGGGACAGAAAATTACTCCAAGACCTTTAGGAGTCAACTTGTGGATTTGGGGGCGAAGGTAAGAGGTTCATTTTACCACTGCTGCACCTAACAGTCCTCTGAAACATAAGGTGATCTATTTGCATTTTCTTATTTTGGGAGTTTTTACTTAGAGCACGATGGACAAAGAGGACAGTGGGTAAGTGGCAGAAGAAAAAAGGAGAGAACCATGCTATGAGGAATTGAGAACAGCTGGGCTTCTCAATTGAGAACGGCTTGGGGGTGACGCAACAGGAGAGCTCCAGGATGGAAACACAGATCCTGCCACTGGCTGTTCAGATGCTTGATACTCTTCATCAAAGTGTGGAATACAGGAAAAGGAACAGTTTTTTAAAGGGAAAAGTTGTGAATTTGGGGTATATTGGAAGTACCTGATAGATATTTGGATGTACAAATCTGGAACTTGAGGTTGTCAGGGCTAGAGATACTGTTTTAGGCATCAGGGACGTAAGAGTCAGGTGTGCTGACTACCCAGGTGGTTAGAATGAAAAGTGCTGAAGGTGGAGCCTGTTTAGTATTTCCAGGGCTGGAATGGGAGTCATGGACCCAGGGACTGAGAGTGAGAAGGACGCCAGGAGAATCCAGAAGACATGCCTGAAGTGGGAGGAGGGACAGACTTCAAAGATGGAAATTTTAAAACACCGCCTAAGTTTAAGAAAGCTTAGGATTGGGATGTATTCTTTAGGCGTGAAAGCTGTAAGGTCATTGTTGAGTGTCACCATGTTCAGTGAGCTGGGTTAAGGGAATCATGGAGACCTGAGGAATGGGGTGGTGAAGGCAGCAGCTCGGAGCTGGGGTTCAGATGTGAGCCGACTTCGTGGAGTTGGGGGTGGGGGTCTTGGGGGAGGGGGGCTGGCCGGCTGGTCGGCTGGTGAAAGGAGAGGTAACAAAGGTATGTACCACTGAAGCCAGGGCAAGGATTAGGGATGGTCAGGGCGTAACATAAACTGGAGGGCAGCGTTCTCCCTCAGGCAGAGTGCCTGCTCCTGAGTTTCGTTTGACTCACCCTGGTACCTGACCTAGTGAGCAGGGGAAAGACCCAAGAGCAGATTAGGGTGACAGTCAGAAGGCAGGGCCCGGCGTTTGCTTTTGAACCTGAGAAGACACCTTTTTTCCTGATAAATTGGACGGTAAATCCATTAGGATTTCGGGAGGTTTTCCGCTTGATGATACCAGCCACATACTTGAGCTCCAAGTGTTATTGTGACAGGAAAAAGCTGTGGAACATAGGAGCTGGCAAAATGGCTTTTGAGAGTAGTATTAAGGTCTTGGATCTCTTTAATTCCACCCCCCCCCAACTTTTATTTAGAAATCTTTCAATAGAAAAGCTGAAAGAATAGTATGGTGAATATAGACCCAACAATTAACATTCTTGCTTGGACTCCATCTCTCTAAACAATATATGTATTTTTCTCCTGAACTATTCAAAAGTAAGTTGCAGGTACCATAATTTGTCCCTAAATATATTTAGCCTGCATCTTTTAGAACAAAGACGCCTTCTGTGTGACAGCAGACCGTTTCACATCTGAGAAAGCTATCAGTGATTTCCTAGCAGCTTTCTGCCGTGTTTGAATCAGTTTATAATTCTGTCAGAATATAAAAGCCCCACTGCTGTGTATGCTTAGTTTTGTCTCTTTACCTTCGGCCATCACAGTGTGTTTCTGGTGGTGTATCAGTCTGGTGTGAATTTGCATTTTCCTGCATATCTTCCCATACTTACTCTGAAGACCCTGTTCAAGTCTCCACCTCATGTTTGCATTGGGTTTTTCTTTTTCTTCTTGATTTGTAAGCATTCTTTATACTTTCCAGTTGACCCCTTTGTCGGCCATGTGAATTGAAATATTTTTTGCCTGTGGCTTGCCTTTTCACCTTCTTAATAGCATCTTTTGATGATAATGGTAGTTTGTTCCTTATGGTAAGCTTCTGTGTGTGTATCGTGTTTTAAAAAATCTATTTCTATATGGTGGTTATGGGAATTTGTCTCTTATGTTCCAGAAGCTTTATCATTTTGCCTTTCACATTTAGATTTACAGTACATTTGAAATTAGTTTTTGTATGTGGTATGAAGTAGTTTCATTTTTTTTTCCCAGTGGATGATTGTTTGTCTCAACACCATTTATTGAAAAGACTGTCCTTTAGCACAGTGACACCTTTGTCATTGGTCAGGTTTTAGTACCCATATAGTCTGTTCTCATGACAGACCACCCTGTCTTAATTACTCTTTATAGTAAATCTTCCCCTTTGTTCTTCAAGTCAAGGGGTTCTGGCGTTTCTAGCCTTTTGCTTTTCCAGATACATTATGAAACTGGTTTGTCAGTTTGCAACCTAAAGCTTTTTTGGGATCTTGATCAGTATTGGATAGAGAACAACAGATCAGTATGGAGAAAACTGACATTGTTATACACTGGAATCTTCTAAAGCATCAGCATGATGTATGCCTTTGTTGATTTGAGTTTCTTTCATTTTCTCAGTGATGTTTTATGATTTTCTCTGTTTATTTTTGTTGTTGTTAAGAATGGTATCTTTTGAATTCTTTTTCCTGTTGCTGTTATATAGAACTAGTTCATTTTTGCATATCCACCTTGTGTCTAGAAAACTTACCAAGCTCTTGTGAATTCTGTGGCATTTTGGGGATTTTTAACAGTGTGCACAATTGATTGTTACGTGCACAGGACTGTCTTATTTTTTTCTAATCCTAACACTTTTTCTTTTCTTGACATACTGCCCTGGCTGGAGCCAGTTGGATAGAGTGGAGATAACAGAAGTGTTTTAGCATTTCCCATCATGCAGTCTTATACCAGCTTTCAGATCCTAATATACTGTGAATTTTCCTCATTAATAAACTTTTTAACTTTAACACATTTTTGTTATGTAATTGAGATGGCTATGATTTTTCTCTTTGACTTTGTTAATGAAGTGAATAATAATGATTGACTTTTTGTTCTAACCAGCTTTGCAGTCCTGGAATAAACAAGTGGCGGGAATGTATTGTATATATTGGTTGATACTATTTGTGTATACTATTGTATATATTGGTCGATACTATTTGCTAATTGTTTTGTTGCTTTTTTGGTAAGTGTGTACAAGAGTGACACTGGCTGGTACTTAAGAAACTTATGCAAATAGTAATAAGTTTACCTTTGTTTTCTGCCTTTTGTCTGCAGGTTTCAAAAACTTTTAACAAACAAGTAACTCATGTGGTGTTCAAAGACGGGTACCAGAGCACCTGGGAAAAAGCACAGAAGAGAGGCGTGAAGCTCGTCTCAGTGCTTTGGGTTGAAAAGTGAGTCTTTTCTCCTGTGGTTTTTTTTTTTTTCCTTAAGTTATCTAGTTTTGGTAGAGTGTGGAGATATTTTGCATGAATCACAGAACTAGATAAGTTTTGTTTCCATCTTTTCTCTGCCTCTTACTCGGGGCATTTGACATCCTCAGTTTCCTAGGATGAAAGACAGGCGTGGTGTAACTCCCAGCCTGCCCAGAGACGGAGTCTGTGTGGTGTATTGAGGGAACAGAGAAGCAGATTGTTAGTCTACTAATGTGGCCAGTCTGTAACAGACACCACAGACAGTGGGCTTAAGCAGCAGAAATATATCTCTCAGACTTCTGGAGGCTAGAAGTCCACGACGAAGGTGTCCACAGCGTTGGGTTCTTCTGAGGCCTCGCCCCTTGGCTTGCCGATGGCCATCTTGTTTCTGTCTTCCCTTGGTCTGACTGTTTCTGTGTCCTCATCTCTTTTATAAGGACACTAATCTTACTGGGTTACCCACCCCCAGTGACCTCATTCAACCTTCACTATCTCCTTCAAGGCCCCATTTCCAACTGTAGTCACGTCCCTTGGTCCTGGGTGTTAGGACTTCATGTGAATTTAGGGGACACAATTGAACCCATGCAGGAATAGTCAAGAGGAGGTTGAGATCAGAGAGAGTGGGGTATCAATGATATAAAGCAAGTTTACTGAAATCCAGATGTAAATGAGTCACACTGCTGATTTAAACTAGAGTAAATTTACATGAAAACAGTAATGCAAAATATAAGGCGTAGAATTTGGCTGTTGCTGTGTGAAGCTGCTCTGAAAAAATTAAACCTGTTAATTAAAAAACTTTTAACAGTGAGGCGTGAGCATTGATTCCGTTTCTTTGTCTTCCATTGTCTGGGCAGTTTTTAAGATTCCAGCCTCACTCTCCCCTCTTTTGTTTAAAACAAGGTTTTCTTCATTTCAGATGTGTCCCATTTCCCCATGATTAGACTCAGGTTGTGGTTTCCCACCCAAAAGGCTCCATGAGTGAGGTGTGGCCTACCTGGAAACCTGCAGTTTCCGTCTGCCTCCTAATGGTGATTCGAATTTTGGTCAACTGGCAAGGTGTTCGGAGAAGGCAGTGGCACCCCACTCCAGTACTCTTGCCTGGAAAATCCCATGGACGGAGGAGCCTGGTAGGCTGCAGTCCATGGGGTCGCTAAGAGTCAGACACGACTGAGCGACTTCACTTTCATGCATTGGAGAAGGAAATGGCAACCCACTCCAGTGTTCTTGCCTGGAGAATCCCAGGGACGGCGGAGCCTGGTGGTCTGCTGTCTATGGAGTCGCACAGGGTGGGATATGACTGAAGTGACTTAGCAGCAGCAGCAGGCAAGCTGTTGCTGGTTTTTTTCCCCACTGTGTGATGACTGTTGTTTTCTTTGAGGCTGATAAGCTGCCTGTGGGGAGGCAGATTCAGATCACATAGACCTTTTGCTTCTTTGACCCCAGGTGTAGCGTTCATGATGGTTCTTGCCTGAACGAACCTTAACCCTGAGTCTTACAGGATGACTGTTTTCCAAGTCCAGTGCTTCTGGCTGTGCCCAGCTGGGTGCTGTAAGAAAGAGCCTTTTTTTCTCCCACACTGATTGATTAGTGTCAGCTCCTGGGTTCCTGTATTTTTTGACGGCTTATAGTTCACACTGTCTTTCTGGTGCTTAGATTATTCAGATTTGGGTAGTGGGAGTCCCTTCGGCCAGCTCCTGTGTCTGTCTGGCCTCGTGCCTGCTCTCCCCGCCCCGGTGTCAGCCGTTTCCGCACAGACCGTGAGCCTTGTGAGGGGGGACAGCATCTGGGACTGAGATGTGGGGTTGGTGGGCTCCCAGCCGTGGGGCATCACCCCTTCTTGGCCTCCAGGCAGAGGCAGGAGACACATTGGCTCCTTTGTTCTCTTTTTCGTCCCTGTTTGGGATCATTGGATGTGTTAGTTTTTAGACTAAAATTCTATCCATTCTTTTTATTTATTTTTAGTGATTGCTTTAGGGGTTACGCAATAGATCCTTAACTTCTGAGTCTGCTTAGACTTAGCATTGTACCACGTCACATAAGATACAGATAGAGACCTGGTAACTGTGTGTCCGTAGTTCTGCCCCCTCCTCTGTGTTAGGGTGGTCGTATGGGTTTCAACCCCACGCACTGCAGTCCCACAAGACAGTGTTATTGTGCTCTGAACACTTGTCTGTATTTTAAGTAAATTAAGAGGAAAAAATAGTGTCTAATGTTTATCCGTATATTCTTTCTCTTACTCTTCATTTCTGAGGATCTGAGTTTCTTCTGCTCTTTCCTTTCAGTGTGAATAGCTATGTTTGGCTTTTTTTTTTTTTTTTTAATAAAATCCACATACTATAAACTCACCCTGTTGGTGTACATTTCAGTAGTTTTTACTATATTCTATTCAGATGTTTGTAGCAGTTATCACTACCTAATCCAGGAACATTTTATCCCCTCAGAATAAGCTCCATAACCATTAGCAGTCATTCCCCTTGGGCTCCTTACTCCCAGCCCCTGGCAGCCATCAATCTACTTTTTGTCTTTGGATTTACCTAGTCTGGACATTTCTTGTAAATGGAACTCGACATTATGCGGCTTCTTGTGTTGGATTTCTTTCCCTTGGCATCATGTTTTGGAGTTTCATTTGTGTTGTAGCCTGTGTCAGTTTTTTATTCCTTAAGAGTTGCTGAATAATACCATGTTTTGTTTATCTTCATCAGTTGGTAGACATTTGGTTTATTTGCACTTTTGGCCATTGAGTAATGCTGCTATGAACATTTGTGTGCAGGTTTTCATGTGAATATATATATTTTCGATCCTTTTGGGTATATATGCACCTAGGAGTGAAATTTCTGAGTTATATGGAAACCATTTGTTTAGCATTTTGCAGAAGTGCCAGTTTTTTTGGATTGGGTGTACCATTTTACATTCCTACCAGTAATGTTTGAGGCTTGTTATCCCTCTTTATGTTGATAGCCATTGTTGTGGATGTGAAGTGGTATCTCACTGTAGTTTTGACTTGTATTTCCTTAGTGACCAATGATGTTGAAACACTTTTTGTGGTTTAATTGGCTATTTCTATATCTTCAGAGAAATGTCTACTCAAACACTGTCCATTTTTTAAAAGTTGAGTTATTTTTCTTTTTTGAGTGAGAGTTCTTTATTCTGGATACATATTATTTGCAAACATAATAAGACCCTTACCAGACATATTATTTGCAAACATTTTCTCCCTTTCTGTGGGTTGTCTTTTCACTTTCTTGTTGGTATCCTTTGAAGCACAAGTTAAAAATTTTTAAGCCCAGTGTTTCTATTTTTTCTTTTGTTGTTTCAGTTTTAAATGTCACATTTAAGCAATGATTGCCTGATTGCAGGGCATGAAAATTTACACCTGTGTTTTCTTCTCAGAGTTTTATAGTTCTGTCCTTAACACTTAGGTCTGTGGTTTACTTGAGTTAAGTTTTTGCACATGGTGTGAACTGTGACGTCACCTTCACTTTTATATGTGACTGTCCAGTTGTCCCAGTACCACTTGTTGAATAGACTGTTGTTTCCCCATTAAGTTATCTTGGTGTCCTTGTTGAAAATTAATTGACCATAGATACATGGATGTATTTCTGGATTCTCAGTTCTGTTTCATTGATCTGTGTGTTTAATGCCAGCACCTCACTGTCTTGATTACTGTTGTTATTGTCCAGTTACTGAGTCGTGACTGACTCTTTGCAGCCCCATGGACTGCAGCACGCCAGGCTTCCCTGTCCTTCACTGTATTCTGGAGTTTGCTCAAACTCATGTCCATTGAGTCAGTGATGTCATCCAACCGTCTCATCCTCTGTCACCCCCTTCTCCTGCCTTCAGTCTTTGCCAGCATCAGGGTCTTTTCCAGTGAGTCAGATCTTCCCATCAGGTGGCCAAAATATGGTAGCTTGAGTGTCAGTCCTTTCAATGAATATCCAGGGTTGATTTCCTTTAGGATTAACTGATTTCCTTGCTATCCAAGGGACTCTCAAGAATCTTTTCCAACACAATTTGAAAACATGAATTCTTCAGTGCTCAACCTTCTTTATGGTCCAACCCTCAGACATCCCTACATGGCTACTGGAAAAACCATAGCTTTGACTATATGGACTTCTGTCGGCAAAGTGACATCTCTGCTTTTTAATACACTGTCTAGGTTTGTCATATAGCTTTTCTTCCAAAGAGCACGTGCCTTTTAATCTCATGATTACTTGATTACTGTAGCTTTACAGTAAGTTTTGAAGTTGGAAGTGTGTCTTCTCCAATTTTGATTTTCTTCCAATTCCTTTGCACTTCTGTATGAATTTTAGGATTTGCTTGTCAGTTTCGGGGAGGGAGGGTCGGGAGCAGCTGGTATTTAACGGAGATTGTGTTTAGTCACTAATTACATAGGTGTTGCTGTTCAGTCTTGCCATCCGTGCCCATATTTGTATTTCCTCGTCTGTGGTTTCTTCCGTTGGGTCTTGTAGCTTTCAGTGTATAAATCTTGCCCCTTCTAGGTTAAATTTATTCCCAGTTTATTTTCTTTTTGATGCTATTGTAAATGGAATTGTTTTCTTAATTTCATTTTTAGATTGTTCAATTATTAAAATACAGAAATATAACTGATTTTTGTATATTGATTTTGTATCCTGCAAGTTTTTGAACTTGCTATTAGCTAAGTGTCTTTGTGATTTTCTTAGGATTTTTTTGTATACGGTGTTGTGTAATCTGTCTACAGAGACAAGTTTTACTTCTTCCCTTCCAGTCTGGATGCCTTTTATTTCCTTTTCTATTCTAATTGACCCAACTGTAAGCTCCAGCACCGTGTTGAACAGAAGCAGTGAGAGTGGACATCTTGTCTGGCTCCCAGTCTTAGGAGAGAAGCTTTCTGTGTTTATTAAGTGTGATGTTAGCTTTGGATTTTTTTTTTTTTATGGGTGCGCTTTGTCAGGTTGAGGAAATTTTCTTCTATTCTTAGTTTTTGTTTGTTTCGATTT